TCTGCTCGCCGCCAAGAAGAAACTCTGGGAGGTGACTGCGTTCTCGTTCTCGGCGAGGGGAAATCACGGCTTTTCCAGCTCGGTGCGAAGGGATAAAGATAAGGCGATGACGACGATGATATGGGAGTATCGACAGAGCCAGGTCTGGAATCCGTTGGAGGGCTCTCGCTTTGAGAGACCTTGTCATTTCTGAACCTGATTTTTTTCCGGCGCCAGAAGAATATTGATAATAGTATTATCACTACCAGGGTCAATGATCCGAGGGTGCTCCCAATGATTACTTTCGTATGGTTCGTTGAGACGTGGTTATGTAGAGATGTAGATGCTGAAGCAGTCGTTTCTGGCGGTGAAGTCCCTGAAGTGGTTGTTCTATGAGAAAAATAGTTAACAAACATGCGAGTAGAACAGAAGCGCATCAAACCTACATGGATACAGGGTCAACAGAGCTGAGGGACTCCCCATATACTGTGTGGCTACCACCAGACGGGGCATAAGTAGCATTTCCATCTTGACTCTCGTCTGTACTATTGCAAGTTGCAGAACTTTCATGAGTCTTGCTCCCAACCTCCCCATCGACGCCTTCCAGTTCCGTGGCGTCGGACACGGTACTAGAGACGCAACTGGCAACGGTACCGCCTTTTATGGATCCAACCTGGTCACCAATGTCGGTGTCGCCACTTTCCCTGCTTCCCTGGTCGTCGTCATTGCCACCGAAATTACCACTGTCAGTTTGTCTGCTGGTCAGAGTTCGACCGTCTTCATCATTTGTTGTAGCGCTTTTACTAGTGGCGGTTCTGCCATCCCGACTCCTAGTTATGTCCTCTCCACTGTCTGCGTGTATCGTAAGGTCTTCGCCGTCTTCTTCCGATAAGTCTTTATCTGCACACCAAGCTAATACCTCATTGGTTCTAATGCCCTCATGAGACCTCGCGCGAAACATAAGTGACTCGCCGCAGGAAGGGTTGATGAGCGCCAGATGTACACTGCGGAGAATGTCATTACTCGGCTATGTAAAGGATATCTTTGTGGAACGGACATACCCTTTGGCGCTAGACGTTGTTAAAACATCGTACGACAAGAGGTTCTCCGCAGAACGCCATTCACGACCCCTACCCGAGGTGACGCACGACGCGAAGGAAGGAAGAGAGGAGCGGTCTGGATCATGCGGTTTCCAGGCTAGCACGATCATGCACTCTTGGCCAGCTTGAGGAGCGTGTTTAGTTGAGATTGTTATAGCGATATCGAAGACTTTGAGTATCTGGATTATAAACCTTGTAAATATCGATTCAGGTGAGCTAGGTATTGCATTTGATACGATTAATTGACGTACACATGGAAGAGAGTGGACGCCATGGCAGGTAAACGGGTTAAGATCATAACCTGCGACAGAAAGACTCTCGCTTTAATAGATATCTCGGCAGGTCTGTCCAAATTCCCGTCAATAGCAACTGAAATCAACATGACGGCGGTCCTCAATGCAATAATCACGTAGTTGGACGGACAGTGCCCAATGTTCGGGAAGAAGATGTGGTTCGGTCATTCTGAATTATAGCACAGAACTTCTTCCTGGAGAACGATCAGATAGATATGTAGTGAAGGAAGACAATATAAATTTAGAAATGACAGCTTCTGTCCGGATCTCTGAGTGACTGAGAGTGAGTCCCTCGGCGCAGTATTCTGGAGAAACAGACAAACGAGCATCTGATAGACACTTCTACCCAACTTCTACCATAGACATAAATGACCTATCGGCATAATGTCAGCACTCTCGATTGTTTGATCATCAATTCGATGTCTTTGGACACAGCGTAGTAATCAAACGACTGACAGGATCATCGAGTAGTCATTAGCTAATATCATAACGAGATCGATGAAATGACGAAACATAGTGAATGAAATTGTCTCCAGACCAGCGTAAGCCTTTTGGTCACAATGCGATGGCTGTACATTCTATCCCTCCTACACAGAGCCATAGAAACATGATACATCCATCTATGAGATTTTAGTCTCCTGAGACATTTATTATATGCCAGTGAGCTCTACGTACCAGATTTCGAGTCCTGTGGAAACGGGATTACTGGTCTGAAGCTGTTTCGTAGTGCTCCATCTTCGTCGAGTGCAGGTTTACCAGTCTTAAGCTGTTTCGTCCATCTTCGTCGAGTGCATCGTACACCGCCAGAAGCTCGTCGAACTTCGTCGGGGTTTCGCCATATTTTGGGCCCTCAGGGACTCAACTAGCACGACTTTGTCCGTAGTTAGTATATTGTGCGGTGGCTGAGGGCGGCGAGCCAAGGCAAGGCCCTCTAAAGAGTATTGTCAACACAGTAAGCAATTGGAGTTGAGACGAAGATCATTTACTCGATCCTCACCCAATCATTATCCTTTCGTAGAGGTAAAAATCGGTAAAAAGACGATTTTGAAAGCGGAACCGGCTATTTCGGACCGAAGGGCTTTGTCCGAGATAGCATATTTTATCATCGTAATTTGATGCCTAATTTCCTCGGATTTCCCGGACAAAGTTTGGCGGAAGTGGTCCGAGTTTTCTCCGCTCAATCCGTCCAAGTGCGTCACGTGCTACCCTCGGCAATTACCGGCTTTCGAATTAGATACTTTTTGCGTCTTCACTCTTCCCCATTTCCTTTCTCCTCTGGGATCCACGGTGTTGAAATGAGTATCTCAGCTCCTGCATTGGGATTGCCATCGATAATCAGTATAATAAGAGACCTTGATGCCATGCTGGACGAGCTGATCTTCGAAATACTTCCTAAGTCAACTGACACCTCACTCTTCCTAATTAGAAAGCTCAGTGCTGTCACTGTACTCCGCTTCTCGAACTCTGAACCCTTTGACAGCCTCGAGGTGTCCTGTGTGCCGCGGTCTGGCTCTTTGTCGACGAGAAAGACGTGAAAGAAAGACTTTTCTACACTGAAATGGTCGACCATTCGATATTCATTGCTGTGAATAGAGGAGAACTCGAGGAGGCGAGGCAATTGCATTGAGTACATATCGTTTCAGGATGCGGGCCTGGAACTGACCTGTCACACTCTGTGATAGGCGACCGCTTCGTGGAAAGTTGGAATCTGCGTTACGGGCAAACGTCGGAAGTGATGCGAGGACTAGGAATGGATAAGATCAATGCTCGAGATCACGCAAATGGTCTATAAGTCGATAAAGTTTAATAAAAGAAGTCTGAGGAAGTGAATAAGAAGCGTAACGAGACGAGACATATGTATGCTTCTGCCGCGTTTTCTTAACGCTTTCACCAGAGTCAATTCCATGCCCGTTCATAAGTCTCGTAATGTACCCATCTCACAATGGTAACGCCCACTAGTCCAGACTCTATAATTGCCAGTGTCCGATTTGAATGACACCTTTTGGCGCTCACCGGAAGATGACTCAGTAGATCTTCGCCAAATTTATTCAAGAGTTACAAGCAGATCGGTGACGGGCAATCATCTACGATTATAAATGCTGTAAACACTGTCCAGTAGCGCATCGACCCTGACCAGGTCCTTCTCCGTGATATCCATATACGTCATGTCCCCCAACTTGAACACCACGAACGTCCCTGGCTGTGAATCCGAGTACCACACGTGGTATTCATTCCCGAGCTTGTGGAAGTTTGTCAGTTGGTATCGTGTACTATCGGGTCGGGGATATGGGTAGCAGGTGTGGTGATAACCACAGCGAAATGGTAGTTTGCGATACGAGCCTAGTGGTGGCGAGGAGAAGAGATCATCAGCATAAGAGTAAGGTAAAGACAGAAGACTTACTGTTTGGGAGGAATTCGTAGGCATATACGTCGACCGTCTTGTTCAGTGAAGTAGTCGACATCACTATGTGGGGGCTTCTAACTAGTAATGCTGCGACTGTCGCTCGAGTGAGGTATTTATAAGGATCCATGCTGCGAAGTGGCATTATTTTCGGTGGCAAGACAACGTGCTTCGACTCTGACTGTATCAATCATGACAAAAGAGAAGAAAGACTTTGCCGGCCCAAAATTTGTCTCGCACCCATTCATAATGGCTATCCATTCACCATTGTAGACCAGATGGCAATTGAGAGAGAAGAGAAGAGATGAACACGGGGTACAGCCACTTGAAAATCAACTTGCCTGATCGGGGTTTCTCTGTTTCCCCGGCGTGCCCGATGATTTGCCGAATCTGATTTTCTGGCCAACTATAGTCAACCATCAATTAGTTCCATTAAAGCCATCAATCTATTCGAATGGACATCAGATTATACACCCACACGAACGAATGGTATGTATTGACCAAGTTGGAAGCGATGGGCCGGTATGCTCGGTTTCGTTCGCCATAAGCCCAGAGTCGAGGCTTTAATTCTGACTCGATGAGCCACCTGCCGACAGCTCTGCCTATCTTGGCCATTAATACCATCCGGGGCATCCTGAGGATGTTCTGCGTTGCGTTATCGACCTGACAGTTGGCCACTTGTGGATTACGTTTCGTCGCTTACATACATACAATTCTTCTTGCGATGCTCGTCTTTGTGAATATAGGATCTTAGTCCATGCGAAGTTTCAACCCGAAACATATGTTATTTAATGTATGACTCGTAATTTTTTAAATTCCTCAACCACTATGCGCTTTAGACACTTTGATACGAACGTAATTGGTAAAGGTAAACTTACTCGAAGATGGAGAAAGCCGACTCTTGACAGAGTGCTATAGGGTAGGGGTCTGGGCACGAGCGTTAAGTTCGGAAAGTTCGTATTTTGGACAAATCGTTACATCGTACTTCGAGCTTCAGAAACTTCAAGTCTTAGGGTAGGTGTGCACACGGAACTGACGCTTTGATACACCGGGTTTTGGACCATTAAGTTACCGGTTAGTTGCCCCTCTGCTCGTTAAATAGGTCGTATCAAAACACCGGCTCGAGAAGAGGTAGGACCTAGGTAGCAAACCGTAACTTACACTCCGTGTGCAACCCTTGACCGGCCCGATGCGGACAAAAGGAAAGAAAACACACTTAATAAAGTGCTGCCCCAGAGAGGCTCGAACTCTCGACCTTCCGATTACATTTGCAAAGTTCATATATAACAGTCGGACGCTGTAACCAACTCAGCCATGGGGCAGACACAAACAGGGGGTAAATTAAATGCTTCATTCCAGGATGGGAATGCCTTGTAAACTAATTGAATCTTTTGTGGGCTTCTTGTCGATATAAATTGGCACTATGTGCGTCTAACTAAAGCTACAGTGTAGAGTATCAGAAGCCTACGTGTCCATAAAAGAAAACTCCCATCGCTCAGTCTATATTCTACTGTCTGCCAAGCTCAAGCGCACTATCATTCTTCTCTGCGTCTTCAGCATTCCTGTTTCTTCCCATGCCGCGACCAATCAAGAATCCAGGGTGCGCAACGTTTAATGTGTAGATAGCCAAGACCACCATGGCCCCATCGAGAACATCTGAGAATCACGAGAATCAGTCAAGAAGCGACGTCGTGATTAAAATGGCGCAGCATACTGAAGTAAACCTCCGTAAGGATGATCCTTCCGTTCCATCCATCGGCGAGTTCAATAGTACGATATATCGCACTGCGAAGTCATGTCTATCAGTTTTGATGCGAGCGGTATAGATATAGCGCAACGTACCGAATGAAGAGACACAGGGTGTTGAATGCCAGCGCGAAGATCATGATTTTTAGTTTGGTATCCATGACTCCGCGAGCAGGATTGGGAGACGAGAGCGTCACCAGGGAATCACTCCGTTTCCTGCGCGAGAACAGTTTGGCTACAGGGCGGTTATGCGTGTAGCGGATGAGGAATTCGCAAGCGAGGATAGCGTAGAACGTGATGACGACTGCCAAGAAGATACGTTAGACAACGTCGAGGAGATCGAAGGGTTTCGTGACATACCAAGCTGGAAGACGATACCGGCAAGCATGACATTGGATCCCTATATCCCAGAACGCCGTCAGATCAACACATTAGAAGAAGCCACGAAGGTCCTCACTAGCTTGGCACCTTGGAGGTCGTTGCGGTTGGACGCGGATGACGCGATACCTCCACCGCCACCTTGTACCACCAACGACAGGATGTCCTAGGATCGATCAGCACAACAAGCGAAATGGTATATTTCAATGTACTCACACAGCTGATGAATATGATGGAATCTAAGCACAAAACTCCGTGAGCGAGGTCGAAGTGCAGAACAAGGAAAGAGCTTACACGCTCTGGGGCTCAATCTACTATAAGCAGGTCCTAGAATACGGATTATAGCTCCGAGGATGAGGAAACTGGCAGCAACGAGTGGTGTGGGTCCAAGGATCGTAGCCGTTATTCTATTCCAACCGTTAGATCGGACGGTAGACTGGGAACAAAAAGTACAGACTTACTGAATCATAAAGGGAGTACTTAGAGATGGAGAGATACTTGACCAAAATCTCCCGCTCCATCCTAGAATCTCGAGGCATCCGGCGAGGATGATAGTCGGGAGTGCCCACCACATGCGGAAGTAGATACTCTGGGCCGTGTGGGTTACTGGTAAGACATTGGTCAGCGCGACTCATACCAGACTGAGATTCCCGAAGGTATAATACATACAGGTGGATATAGAGAATAGGATAATGAATGTGAGGGTGACGCCTTTCGATGGAGTGTATCCATACGGGGAATCTTCTCGTGCGGCTTCAGCAGCAGTAACAAGAGTTTTCACTACAGCATGAAAAACACGCGATTAGCCACATACGTCAGCACTTTTTCAAAACGCGCACCGTGCTCTAGAAGGGACATGATCGTAACGGGTAAGAGCCACTTTACAAGCAGCCAGAAGAGGAGAGGGAGTGATGGTGAAAAAAATGAAGGTGTACTTTTTGTATGAGTCAGAAATTACGATAGACATCAGTAGACATGGTCGGAAAGTCGGTAACCGCAGTTAGTTAGGAGGTCCCGTATAGCCTTGCATCATCTTGGCAGATGTTTCAAGGTGGGGTAACAAGACCGTATCCCTACTAAGAATTTTATTGGACATCGACATTTTTATTTGATCCTATTCCGGAGACGTTTTGCAGCGCATTAGGGGTTGCCGAGGGGACGCCTCACTGTGAGTGAAAACGAAAATTCGAATATTTAATCTGGAGATAAGCATCGAACGTTGATCAGTATCAATCAGGGCAGCCACGCAAGGACACCGCCATGTCGCTTGGCGCTGTCCCGACTGGTAGAGCGAGGACCGCAGCATGAAGCGATGCAACAGAATGAATTAATTCGCATACCGTGGGTAATCGAGACGTGGGACGAGCCAGGCTGAAGACTGTTGAAACCATCTTGGAGAGATGGATCCCTGGCTGCGTAAGGCTGGGATATCAATATGTGCGTTACATTTTCGATCAGGTCGGAAAGAGGGTCGGTTGCTCGTCGTACCTGTCCTGCTGAATTTGAAGAACTAGACGTGGCGACGCAAGAAACTGGCAACTGGCGTGGAAGGGACAGAAAAGACTATTATTATTGGAGCAGATTGAGACTGATGTGAAGCGCTTGTTTAAATACTTTCCTGAATACGACTCAGTTATCACCGAACGATAGTGAAGCGATGTGTTCGTTAGAGTGACAGAGTCGAATTGCTCCGTCGGTCCGACGGCGTCCGACGGCTGCTGACGAATATGGATTTCCTCTTTTAGTTTTCAGCCGTGCTGCCGTGCCGCGGCCGCGTCACCTTCCATGCCGTCTGCGACTGAAGGAAACCATCAACCCGATTCAACGTCTTACCTGAAAACATCTCTGTAGGCTTACAGCTCCCTCGTCCAGACTCAATGACAATCAGTTTCCACTCAGCATTGTCGGAGGCCAGCAAACATAGAATCCTTTCACTTCGTTTTCATACATGCCAAGCGAACATAATTTACAGGCAGTACCCGTAGGGAAGACTTCCCCGCAATTCTCCTGCAGCTGCTGGCGATGTCGTTTCGTGACAGCAATTTTGCTGAAAACCGGACATCGTAAAACAGAAGGCGTCTTGACAATGGTAAAGCAGCCGCGGTAGAGCTTTTCCCTTTCCTTCAGAGGTTCTAATGTTACTTTAGTGCTACATCTTGGGGTCTCCTGTCGTATAAACAAATCGCAGTAACAGTCTTATCACCATTGGTTTCACCATATTTGCTTCTTTGAGGAAGCTCAATTCGATATCAATACTGGACCAATCCAAATTGGGCTCGCAGCGACGTGTCGTCGCGTCGATATGTCCGTGATCGTGAATTTACAAATTCCTCAGCTCTCACTACGGGGCACGTGTCAGACTTTGACAACGCGCCGCTACCAACCACTGTCATCAGAAAAGTGCGGCAAATAGCTCCCCAATTCCATGAATCGTCGAGCGGTACGATGATACACCAATCTAAAAGAAATAATGCTCAAAATTTGCTTTCAGCGAAGGACCCGTCTGCCAGCCAGAAATTCGCCGAACCGTTACCCTTTTCCGATTGGCGATGCTCAAGACCTTCTAGATGAGGCCGTCAGAAATCCAATCAATGCTCATCGAATGTTGTCTCTGGTCGATCTCCAGCTCGTTAAAACCCCGGTTCCCGAGGGCTTTGACCCCTGGACTCATACCCCGGCTGTCCACGTCATCGACGCTTGTATGCGCGGTATTGCTAGAATCATCTCAGAAAGCCCATCTTTTCGGACCGATCAGCAACTTCGTAAGAGGGTCACGACATTTTGGCCCCGACTTATCCCATGGAGCATGTACTTCCTCGAATGTATCATACTGGAGCACGCCGATATCATGGTATCGAATCATGAACTCTCAAAGTACATCGACAGCGCCGCATGCAACTGCGTGCGGTTTCTTCTCCGGGCTCTCGAGCTCGATGAGATAAAAAAGTCACTCACCCAAGTGGCCCCACGCTTGTTGTCCAGTTTAACGAAGGCGTGGATCGTGACGGTCGAGAATGGTATCCAGGTCGCCAGCCTTCTCACTCAGGCGGCCAAAAAATGGATGGATTCTGAAGACCATGACACGTTCGGAGATGTAACTCACACGTTCATCGCTTTCCCAAAGTCCCGTCTAATGGGTTGTCTGACCCGCATCATATCTTGTGTTCAGGACCGTCAAACGCCTGTACCTTGGATGTTGTTGACATACAATCTCATGTTTATCCAATTCATTGGCGAGGGTCGTGATCTTCGCCTCGAATATCTATTGATGAAGTCCATACCTTGGGTCTGCAGACTCATCACGTATTCTCGCCACTATCTTGACAAACACCCCGAAGAAATGCAGTTCGCAGCTAAGCCGCTAATCCTTTCCTTCGGCTATTTAGCTGGAGTGCTGGTCGACGGACCGGAGTGGATCACTCAAGCACTGGACAACCGGCTCTTAGTGTCGCTTGCATGGTTCACTGCCAGAAGCCACACGTTCCACTATCCCCGAGAACTCGACCAGGCTATCTGCTCACTCCTACACCTTTTCACCGTTAACACGGTTTGGCGGTCTGTACTACGACCCATGTTTCGGTCGATGAGACACGCGGATTTATCCTTCTTGGAACATCGAAGCGAAGTATCGAACGAGATTCTTGAGCAGTGGGATAACTTGGAAGAGGCGTTTGAGGAAAGATGGAAGGAACGGTGTTCGTACAAAGATGAAGTGGGTGATTACTGCATGAATACGCTCGTAAGCGTGGACGACGTTTGAGTGTTGATCTCATTATTAACTTCTTAATAGCACTGCCCTGGCATCGAAATCGACTTGTTCAGATGTCCTGCCTGCGGTGGTAATTTTTGTTCGAGGTCTTGTCAGAAAGACCCGAAAGATACCACCCACCAGGCAATCTGCAAGACCCAAAGATATCGCAAAAAGAGTACGTTTCCCCTATTTGCTTTCGTGGGTTATTGACATTCTCAAATGGTATGACTTAACAGGAGGCTATCCCGAAATTGCCGTTGCAAGAGACTGTGAATTTCTCTGCTGGGTTGTTCAACAGTTCCTGTTCGACGAGGAAGAGTACATTGACGACATTTTGGAAGAATATCTCCAAGAGCATACAGATGAGTCTATTGGGGTCGTGTCCGTGGACTTTGCGCATTTTCCCCCCGAGGTCTCCGTCGGCTCTTTCGATGATTACAAGTCTCG